CCCTGCACCTGCGTGGGAGACCTGGAAGAGGCTCTTGGCTTCAGATTGGCTCAGCTCCAGCCATTGCAGCCGCTTGGGGAGTGAATCATCGGATGGAAGATCTTCCTCTCTGTCTCTTCTCCTATCTGCCTAAAGAAATTTAACAGCAACCTGATTTCTGTTATGTTAATTAAAAGTTCCTCTGGGGAAAACTAATTGTAGCATTCATTCTGTGTGGTCTAGCAATGAAATTTCTTTTGCGTAATGGGTTAGTTCTATGCAACACAAAGAAAATGTTTTATATAGGATTAGTAATATCTTAAAAATTGTGGGCCAGTGGTTATCAGTGGGTTAAGCCATCAGCATCCTAAATGAGTGCTGGTTCGAGTTCCAGCTACTCCACTTCTGATTCAGTACCATGCTAAAGCACCGGAGGAACCAACGGGAGGTGGCCGAGTACTTGGGCCCTGGTATCCACATGGGAGACCTGGGTAGAATTTCAGCCTCCTGGCTTCAGCCCAACCCTGACTATTGTGATCAAGTGAACAGGTGGGTAGGAGACATTTTTTCTCTCTCCACACTTTATTTCTGTCCTCTTCTCATTTCCTCTCTCTCCTTTCTTTCTTTGCAATTCTGTCCTTTAGTTAAATATTTTAAAAGTCAGTAGCAATTCCAATGTCCATTGGCAGGGGAAGGAATAAATGAACCAAGGTGTATTCATAGGATACGATACTTAGACAACAATGAAGGCAAATTGGCCAGTTCTTCTCAAAAAGATAAAAGATTTTTATTGTAAAGGCAGATTTACAGAAAGGAGAGACTCTTCTTCCAACCCCTTGTTGGAGAGATCTTCTAACCACTGGTTCACTCCCAAGTGGCTACAATGGTCAGAGCTGAGCTGATCTAAAGCCAGGAGCCAGGAGCTTCTTTCTCTCCCACATGGGTGCAGGGTCCCAAGGCTTTGGGCTGTCCTTGACTGCTTTTCCAGGTCACAAGCAGGGAGCTGGATGGGAAATGAGGCTGTCAGTTATGGACCAGTGCCCATATGTGCATACCTGTAGGTAGACCAGGTGGCTGGAGAAGCTTACAGCATGGATGATGTGCCCTAGGGTTATCTGCTCTTGAATACCTCAAAACGTTGCAAGAAATGTGAGTTGAGGTCGGAACTGCCAAGATGACTGGGTTGCCTTGCCCTGCCGCAGCGCTCGAGGCTAGGGGTGAAAAGCGGGGTCGCAATCCCTGGCGAATGGCACCCTCTGGTGACTAGAAGAGGCAAGTGCAAATGAAGTGCAAATTCTCTTGAGCAAAACGTATTCCCGCTAAATCTAGGATATCATACAGAAAAAAACAAAAAAGCCAGCTCACAGCTGAGAAAGTGTGCGCCCAGGGAAGCTACTCTGTGAGTTAACACAAAACAAAACAAAACAAAACAAAACAAAACAAAACAAAACAAAACAAAACAAAACAAAACAAAACACACATTTAGAACAGTTCCGGTCCCGACGGGAAGGCTCAATGGCTAAATTCTCACCTTGCAAGCACCAGGATCCCATATGGGCACCAGTTTGTGTCCTGGCTGCTCTACTCCCCATCCAGCTCCCTGCTTGTGGCCTGGGAAAGCAGTAGAGGATGACCCCAAGTCTTGAGACCCTGCACCCATGTGGGAGACCCAGTGGAAGCTTCTGGCTTCAGAGTGGCTCAGTCCCAGCCATTGTGACCATTTGGGGAGTGAATCAGCAGATGAAAGCCTTCCTCTGTGTATCTCCTCTCTATATATCTGCCTTTCCTATAAAAATAAATAAATCTTTTTTAAATATCTCCACGATGCTCACTGAATGTAAAATTAGACACACGTTTAAGAAACTGGACGATATATCATAGTAATCAGACTACAGAATGTAATGCAGAGTGATTAAAAAGATATTTTAAATGCTTACATGATGGAGACTTAAAGGGGAACTATGACAGCCAGTTGGCCTCAGAAGGATTTCCTCATTCTTGGGGCAGGGCTATCAGCAGCATCTCAGAACTATGGAAAACACATGAACAGAACCCTCGGAAAATGCTCCATAACAGGGACCCTGGGGTGACAATCGGTGGCAGTTCATCACCCCTTCCTCTCCCCAGCACCCCCGCCCCCGGCAATGCGGCAGTTTGGAGGCTGGGCATGGTTTCTCCTCTTGTAACACCCCCCCCCCCCATATACAGGAAGAAGAAAAAGAAAATGTGTAAACAATGGTCTCACCCACTATTCCCTGATCCTTGACCCTTCCCACCCTGGTTAGCTATTTAATCATCACTAACAAAATTTTTTTAAAAATATGAAAGTGATGATAAGAGACAAGAAGGACAGGATGAGGAAGTCTGACCTTGTCTGTTTGGATGCCCCAGAAATAAAAACTAAAACAGCTAAAGCTGTGGCAACGTTGAAAAGACAAATGGCTAAGACTGTTCCAGAACCTATAAAAATATGAACACACAAATCTAGGAGATAGAATATATCCTCAGTGAAATTAAATAAAAATTATGCTTCAACTGACTATCATGAAATCATAGCATGGCAAAACTGAAAATTCCTAAAAGGGGCCAGAGATAAAGGGAAAGTCAAAGTAAACAATCCTTATAGTCAAAGAATCCTTTAAAAAAAAAATGCAAGTGGTGGTTAGGAATCACCAGATATAAAGTGGATTGTTTTCAAGTAAGTTCTACAAGTTTTCAGGGAACAAGCCACTTCCTTCTCTCCGACTTATCCTCCAAGACCTGCGAGACAGAAGACAGCAAAGGAACGGAACAACCTGACTCCTATGTGAAACACCAGCGGGTTTTTAGTGTATTAAAACCAGGACATTGATCACTGAAATTCAAGAGTGGCTTGACTTGAGAAAGTATGCAAGTTTCATTAATCACATTAGCAAATCAAAAAGAAAAACCATATATTATTTCAAAAGATGCTAAAGAAGTAGGACAAAATTGAAACAAACATTTTATTAAAATAAAATCTAGAAATAAGTTACTTAACCTGATTAAGCATATCTATTTAGAATTCTATATATTACTTTATTAATGTTTTTATTTAAAAGGCAGAGAGAGAGAAAGAGAAAGATCTTCCTTGGTTGGTTCAATTGCCAATAATAATTTGCCGGTACTAGCCATCACACCTGCCCCAAGCTACTGTCGATTATGACAGAAATAATAAGTAGCTAAAAAGCATGATAAGAAAACACATCGTTTATTTGAAACCAAAAGGCAAACAATATCTATGAATAAATTCTTTTTTAAAAAGATTTATTTTTATTGGAAAAGCAGGTCAGATTTACCAAGAGAAGGAGAGACAGAAGGATCTTCCATTTGCTGGTTTACTCCCCAAGTGGCAACAACAGCTGGAACTGAGCAGATCCAAAGCCAGAAGCCAGGAACGGGACCCATGTGAGTGCAGGATCCCTAGGCTTTGGGCCATCCTTGACTGCTTTCCCAGGCCACAAGGAGGGAGCTGGATGGAATGTGGAGGAGCTGGGACACGAATCAGTGCCCATATGGGATCCTGGCACTTGAAGAGGATGGATTAGCCAATTGAGCCACTGTGTCCCTAAGAGCAAATTCTATCAAAAGATATATGTGATTCTGGAGCCAGCATGATGGCTCAGTGGGAGGTGAACCTACAGATGGAAGATCTTTCTTTTCATCTTTCCTCTGAAAATCTGATCTGCCTTTCCAACAACAACAAAACTATCTTCTAAGGCCACTATTGTATATCACTGAGCTAAGCTGCTTCCTGCAAATGCCTATATTGGAATTTGGGCTTGAATCCCAGCTGCTCCACTTCCCATCTAGCTTCCTGTTAAAGGCCTGGGGCGGCGGGAAAGAAACAACAGAGGAAGATGGTCTAAGTGCTTAGGTCCTGCCACCCATGTGGAAGACCCAAAGGAATTCTGGGTTCCTGGTTGTGTTCTGGCCCAGCCCTGGGTATTTTGGGGTGGGGTGGGAAGTTCACCAGCAGATAGGAATACAGAGGAAGTTAAGGTCTTGTGTGGTAACCTCACCCTCACCACTCTTCAAAGAACAGCCCCTGGCCTTCCCGAGTCATCATCCCCTTCTCCGTTCCACATAAAAAGGCAGCGTGGAGTCCAGGCTGAGAAATGCAGAGGTGGCCATGGTGCCCACCCTGTGGATGGCAGCATCTAGCTAGATCCATCCCTGCCACTTCCAAGGCTAGGCAGGTGGCCTCCCTACTCAGAATACGTATTCTCATCTAGAGAGCAGATGAGTGGGTGTGGGTGGTGAATGAAACGAGAGACATGAAAGCTCTTCGAGGCTATGACGTGGAATCAAAGCATCAACTCTCTCACTTCTTCTGAGTTCCAGCAGCAGCCAGCTGTGTCTGAGACTGCAGGTGGAGGAGGATGGTGAGATGCACACGGTCTTGGAAGCATCATATGCGAAAGGAGACAGCAGCTCCTCTCTGTCCAGCAAGTGTCTTAGGAGCTCCTGGGCTAGGCAGCCTGTGGCCCCACAGACCTATGGCCTGCTGCAAGACACTGCCATCCAGTGTCTGGGGCCCTGGCATCTCTGTGGAAAACAAAGCTGCTCCTAGTGGCTGGAGCCCAGAGGCTGGCCGGCCCTGCAGGCTGCTACCGTGGCTTGGACTCACAGGCTCAGAGGCTGAAGGAAGCCGGGCTGAAACCACACTGGGAGCAGAAGATGCTGACAGCAGATGGAAATCCCAAACCCACCCTAACTGTGGGTTTCTTGAGTCTGGCCAGAATAACTTGCATAGACGCAAGGGGTGGGGGTGCCAATGGGAGGTAGACTGACCGTGACCATGATGAAGAGAGGACTGATCTAGCCAAAGGGATGTCTTCTTCACCAGACCTGGGGGAGGGTTGAGTAACAAGCAGGATTTTCATCCTAGTTCCTCCTAAACCCCCCAAATCCCCTAGATGTTTGCTTGGAGACGCCATGGCAACCTTGATGCCACAATGCAACATTCTTCTCCAGGTGGTAGAAGAACTTCCTCTGTGGAGCTCTGCTGTGTTAAGGCCAGAGGAAGTTCATTTCTCCTTCAGCAGGAGAAGTTCAACAGAAGAACTCGGAGGACCATCCTGAGGGCGAGAAACATCCGGTATCATGCACAGAACACGGTGACTTGAAACTGTGCACAGGAGTTCCTCAGACCAGGGTGCATGGTGGCGGAGAATGGTGTCAGCCTGGGGACACTGGGGGTGGGGAGGTAAACGAGGCACCTGTGGGTTTTGGATCCAGGTGTACCTGAGCTCCCATTCCAGCACCACCACTTGGCAGCTATTGTGACCTTTGACTGGCTCCTGGATGTCCCTGAGTCGGCTTCTAGGATCTTTAAAATGGGGTGGTGGTTAAGGAGAAGGGCTACCTCCTAGAATGGTTGTGAGGATGAACTGAGCTCCATACTGGGACTATTATTAGTACAAAGTAAGCCCAGCATCACTGAGGCTGGCAGAGTTTAGCCAGAGGGGCACAACTCAGACATTAAACCCTGGGCCCCACTTCTACTAATACTCTGCCGTTCCTTTCAACAGCAGTTTACGGCCACAGAATTAAGGCAAGGGTTCAAGTCCACCTGTCCAACACTCACCCATTTCAGAAACCTAACTCTCTGAGACACCCAGGGACCCAGACTGGATTGAGAAAGGAAAAAAAAAACAAACAAACCACTAACCATTGTAAGCTTCCCCCTCTCCCTGGGCTAACTGACTGACGAAGCGCTCCCGGGGCTGTTGGTGCTGGCTGGCTGCTTCACGCCACTCTACTGCACTGAACCAAGCGCTAGGGATGTGACAGGTGAGTTCCCCATGGCCATGCTCATGGGAGAACAGCAGCCCCACCCCCGACGCTGTGGGGAGGAGAGGGGAACATCCTGTATGTTTGACGTGGAAGGAGTCAGCGAGTGTCACGTGTTCTCACAGCTGCCCATGGTGTCTCCTGTGGCTTGCCTTGGGGATGGCGGAGTTGCGAGCGGTGCTCTTGCTGCTGTTCTGTGTCTCCCTCTCCTCTGCCGGTGAGTGTGCACACTGTGAGCTGTGGGGACGGCAGGGAAGGGAGTTGCCCTGGCAACTCAAGTGGTCTCTACCGTCCAGGGAGGGATCCTCTGCCCTGGACACCATGCATTGGCGGTGGGGTTCAGGCAAAGCAGTGAACTGTGGGGAGTGGATGGAGACAACGGTGGCTTCTGCAGTCCTTCAGGACTGATCCTCGGGGAGCGAGCATGATTAGGAAAGTTCAGCCAGAGGCTATGGACCTGTCAGACAGAGAAGCTGGCTCAAGGGGAGACTTCCCCTGCTCCCAGCCCCAACCTGCCCTTCATTGCAGGGCTGGTCCCAGGTGCAACTACTGCTGAGCGTGTCTTGGAGGCATTAGATGAATGGGCAGTGTCTCCTCTAAACTCTAGGCTACTTAGGATGGTGAATTCTGGACTAAAAAGGGGCAGGTGGTGACTGCTGACCAAAGTAATCTCTGCCCAGCCCCGCTGCTCACCCAGCTGGCTTTGGAGTTCAAGGGGTTCCAGGCGCAAAGGTCAATAGTCTAACAGGATTTTCAGGTTCAAGGACATCACCATGTGTCTATTTTTGGTGGAAGACTGTCTAGCACCCTAAGGCCTCCTATGTAGTTAGTAACAAGAACACTGGTGGGCCAGCTAGCCGGGTGGCATGGAAAGGGGTGTCCTGAGAGCTGGTGGGGAGTTGGTGCCCATAGGCAACCACCAGAAGTGAGGCTCTGTACCCCCTTCAGCAGACTGTGGCATCCAGAAATCCTCCTCTACGGACAAGTCCGAGGAAAACGTGGTCAGCAGCACCGAATTCCCGTGGGTGGTGTCAGTGCAGGACTCGCACTATGCCCACCTGGCTTTCGGCTGCATCCTCAGCGAGTTCTGGATCCTCAGCATCGCATCGGTCCTTCAGAACAGGCCAGTGCCCCTGTGGGTGGGGTGGTGCCCTGCTTCCTGCTTGGATACACCCAGCTCAGCTCTTGCTCCCTTCCACAAACTTTGACACCCTAAGCTCTGGGCCTGCAGCCCAAGACACTGCCAAGCGGTTGGGATTGAACACCCCTGCCCTCTGAGAAGCAAGGAGACTCTCTGTGGTTTCCCAGCATGCACAGGGCCACAGTGTCTCAGTCCTACAGACCTGCTGCTTTGGTTGTGAAGCCCGTCCATCCTGGGGCCTTCAGCCCCACTGCTGCCCAAATACTAGTGCATGTAGCTAGAGGAAAGACTTGAAGGATGTACAGAAACATTGTAAGAACACTTATTTCTGGCTGCTCACAACACATGTCTTCTAATTTCTTCTTGCACATCTCTCAGTAGTCTCCAGATTCTGTAGCATTTATATATCATCTTAAATCGGGGTGTGGGAGGGGGAACATCAGTGTTACTAAAAGAGTAAATGTTTTGATAAATATTTATACACATTTTTTGGTAACTATTTGAGCCAATGATTTCACTTTTGGGAAAATGAACATTAGGGTTATAATTTCAACCACCAGAAAAGTTTTATATACAACATTGTTCTTAGGCTGGTTAATTACATACAAAACTCTGGAAAAAATCTAATGTTTAATGACCATGGAAAATTGAGTGTGATTTCTCATATAGGTAATAGTACATGTAAGCACTAATGTGTGTATATGCATGTGTATGGCATGTGGGAGATTATATAGCATATATAGATAAGCTGAATTATAAATCATTGGTGGGATTGTACTGCTGCTGAATTTAACATATGATTTATATTTTTAAGCCAAAAAATTAATGGAAAATGCACATTATAAAAAAGTATGCATTGATTTCACAAAGTTTTTCACATCCAAATAAACTTAGCTTTTAACTCCACTTTCCACAAACTTTGTGAAGTACCCTGCTACATGCACCCAGGCTAATGTTCCTGAGGAGCTGAGGGTTCAGAACAGAAAGTAATTCCTCCCCTTCCCCACTCTTAGTCAGCAATTTCCCTTCCTAGATAATTTTTAAGATAATTTATTTGAAAAAGCAGTATAGAGACAGAGAGAAACACGCGCACGCACGCACACACACACCACACACACACACACACACACACACATTTTCTATCCACTGTTCACTCTCCTAATACCTTCAACAGCTGGGGTGAGGACTCCAGGTCTCCCATGTGGGCGGCAGGAATCCAAGGACTTGGGTCATCCTCTGTTGCCTCCCTGGACATGCATGAGCAGGAAGCAGGACTGAAAGCAGACCAGCCAGGACTCAAAACCAGCCCTCCAATATGGGTGCCAGTGTTGCAAGCAGTGGCTCGCTCAACCAGCTGTGCCACAGTGCTGAGTCTTACTTTTCAGCTTCTTGGATAATTTTCCTTAAATATAAAGCATTTACTCATATCTGTATGCTTTTAGGTCTAGCTGGGTCAGTTTTCCTATCTATGGAGAGAGAACTTTCTTTACCCCGTGCTATTCAGCTCAACCTGCCATAACAAGATACAACTTGGTCAGAAGTCTCTTTCTCACAATTTTGAAGGCAGAAGTGTAAGGTCAAAGTGTTGACAGGCTTGTTTCCTGTGAGGTCCTCCTTGGCTTGCAGATGACTATCTTGCAGCTGTGTACTCAACGGCCTTTCATTGAGTGTGTTCTCTCCCGAGGTCTCTATTTTGTCTTAGGTCACCAGTCCTGTTGGATTAGGAGCCCCACCCTCCTGATTTGACCTTCTTTCGCTCTATCTCCAAATACGGTCACATCATGAGGAAGAGCTTCTACCGGTGAATTTGGAAGGGCCACTGTTCAATTATTTGTGAAGATCTAGGGCTTCGCCAAAATTCATATCCTTCTGGCATGCAAAACCATCTGCCCTGCCCTGCCCTGCCATTCCAACAGCTCTAAATGTTTGAATCCAGATCAGCATCAACTGCAAGTTGAAAACCTGATTGAAATGCCATCTAGATCATTGGTTAGGGAGATTCCAGTGTGCTTCATCCTGAGGTACAATTCCTCTCTGGCTGGGAAACCAGACAATAGCAACATGCTTCCATGATACAAGAGCATGGCAGTCACAGGGCATTCCCATTCCAAAAAGGACAAATCGGAAGGAAGACTCAATTCAGACCCAGCAAGGTCAATGCCAGCAGATCTTAGGGCTCAAGAGTCACCCTGTGAGGGCTGCTGCTGTCTGCTGGGAGACCAGTGCAGTTGGCATCACTGCTCTTGCCAGCCTGAGCAGCGGTCCCTCTGCTGCAGCTCCAGGTGACCTTGGTCTTCTGAAGCTGACCAGGGGAGGACCTTCTCCCTGTGGCCTGTGTGCTTTGGGGCCTGCTCAGCCCAGCAGCCCTGATGCTCTCTGAACCACCTGCAGGATTATCTTCCCTTGCTCTTCTGCCCCCTCCTAGGGAGTCCAGGGAGTCCAGCAAGCCTCTTTCATTTTGTCCTGTTCCTACCTCCAACTTGGGCAGTGTTTCTGCTGGCATAAATGCCGTCATCATTAGGAAAAGACCAGCCACACCCTCACTGTTCTCTCCAGCACATTCTTTCCCACTCTGAAATACGGACAGGCTGAGAATGTTCCAGATTTTAGGTTCTTGTTTCTTTTTGGCCTCACAATTCCTTCTTTAATTTCATATCTTTTCTCCCCGTTTCATTTTACTATAAGCATTAAGGAAAAATCAGACTGTATCATCAACAATGTTGCTTAGAAACCTCCTCAGCTAAATATTCAAGATCATCGCTTACCACTTGTTTTCTACAAAATGCTACAACACAATTCAACTCAGGATTTTTACTTTGTCTTGTTTGGGTAGAAGAGATGATTTTATAACTAGGATTTCCTTTCTTTCTGTTTCCAATAAAACTCCTCATTTTTATCTTATATACAGAATTATCTTTTATATTTATATTTTAAAAATTTACTTTAGGGCCTGGTGCGATAGCATAGTGGTTAAAGTCCTTGCTTTGCATGTGTCAGGATCCATATAGATGCCAGAATCCTGGCGATCCTGCTTCCCATCCAGCTCCCTACCTATGACCTGGGAAAACAGTCGAGGACAGCACAAAGCCTTTGGGACCCTGCACCCAAGTGGGAGACCCGGAGGAGTCTCCTGGCTTCAGATTGGCATAGCATCGGCCGTTGCGCTCACTTGGGGAGTGAAACATCAGACGGAAGATCTTCCTCTCTGTCTCTCCTCTCTGTATATCCGCCTTTCCAATGAAAAAATAATAAAAATAAATCTTTAAAAAAAAAAAAGAATTTGTTGGTAGTGTCAGTGCAATGGCTCAGCCAACTGATCCTCCACCTGTAGTGATCAGCATTCCATAAACGTGCCAGTTCAAGTCCTGACTGCTCCCTGTTTGTGGACTGAGAAAGTGGCAGAGGATGGCCCAAAGCCTTGGACCCCTGCACCCATGTACAGGGCCTACAGGGGAGCTCTTGTCTCCTGGCTTCAGATCGGCTCAGCTCTGGTCATTGTGGCCATTTGGGGAGTGAACTATCAGATGCAGCATCTCTCAGTGTCTGCTTCTCTCTGAAATCTGCCTTTCAAATAAAAAAATACATAAATCTTAAAACAAGAGGGTTTTTTGTGGTCTATTACATGTGATGTCCTATAGTGAGGTTTTCTGAGGTCTACTATGTGTAGTCCATGGGGTCACTTTTCAGAGGTAAATTTAAAAATTCATTTTCTGTCTTTGGTGTATAATTTACTACACATAACTGGGGAAACATGTCCCGTAAACCTGTCCTAGGTTGGTAGAGATGATTAAAATCTCCTGCCAAGAACATGCTTCTGGCTGTTGCTCCATTTCCTGTGGTGCTTTGCTTTGGGAACACTACAGTACATACAGAATGTATTTATTGTGATGAGGGCTTCACTACAGACTGAATTATTTTTCATCTTTATGAAGCTTTCTTTGTCTTGCTTAATACTCTTCTGCTCTCAATTAAGAGATGCCTTCTGCTTGTTGTTTTGGTTTAGGCTTTGTTTCCTATTTTTATTGCCTCTGGCTAATCTTTCCACTGTAGGATGTCTCTTTTGCTTTATCTGTCTCCTTGGACAAACTTGGAAAACTTTTATTTTCACCCCAGTTTCCACCTTAGAATTGTAACTCCAGATAAATTTCAAAATCCTCTGCTACTTTCTCGAAAGCTTTCTCTGGACTCTCTACTATGGCCCATCCCAGAACCTATCTCCCAATTTTACACTACTATCCCAGCCTCCTACTGTAAGCACCTCCTTTCATTTTCACAAGTTCCCCAGGATTAGACAATAAACTGTATGGCAAAATGTAAGATGACATCAGTTATGTCGGTGTAGATGCTCAAGGAATCCTTCCTTGTCACTCAAGTGGCAGCTTTACAAGTGATGCCAGTTCTTTCCCATTTGTTCCCATTTGTTCCCTTCTCCACCATTCTAGGTCCAGGAAACTGACTGATGTGGGTTCTACCAATGATCTCTCTTGACTTTGGGGCTCCAGTTGGGTTTGAATAAGCAGAGTGTTGACAAGAGGTCAGAAGTGAGAATAAGTTCCGGTCCTTATTTCTCTGAGTGTGGGGCCAAAGGGGGGTCCTACACCAGCTGCCTCCTCCAGTAAGGCGGAGTTCTTGTGTAGAACCTAGGCACCAACACCCTGTTGTGACTTCTTCAGTCCATGCTTTATAGTACCCAGAATGCTGTTCTTGTACTTTCTCCTCATGCTGCCAAAATGTTTGCCTTTTTCTAAACTCTCTCCTTCTTACCTTATTTGAGAGTGCCATGTGTGTGCCAGGATACATCTCTCCACTGATTATTCTGCATAATTTTTCTCCTGGGATAGAATATTCTTCCAAACTATGGATTCAAATCTTATTTTTGGAAAATCTTTTGTTATTGAGTCATCTATTTATGTGAAAAGTCAGAATCATACAGAGAGAGAGAGAGAGAAAGGGATGGAAGGAGAGAGAAAGAGAAATTTTCATTTGCTGATTCATTCCTAGCTGGCCACCACAGCTAGGACTAGGCCAGGAGGAAGCCAAGAACTGGGAACTTGATTCAAATGTCCCACATATGACAGGGATCCAAACATTTGGGCCATATTCTGCTGCTTTTTCCAGGTCATTAGAAGGGAGTTGAATGGGAAGTAAAACACTGAGACACAAAATAGCACCTATATGGAATGTCATTGCAGGCAGTAACTTAACCCATAGTGTTACAATGCCAGCCCCTGAAAAGATATATATTTTTAAACATTTCCTCTGCTTTTTGGTTACCCTCCTTATGATTTGATGATTTTCCTTGAACTGTCATATTTGTCATTTATTATTTTTTGGAGGCCGGCACAGTGATGCAGCAAGCCAACTTTCTGCTTCTGACACCAGCATTCCTTATGGGCACCAGTTCAAGACTCAAACTGGGTTGTCCTGCTTCCCATCCAGCTCCCTGCTTGTGGCCTGGGAAAGCAGCAGAGGATGAGCCAAAGCCTTGGGACCCTGTACCTGTGTGGGAATCTCAGGAAAAGGTCCTGGCTCCCAGATTCAGAACAGCTCAGCTCTGGCTGATGTGGACATTTGGGGAGTGAACCAAGAGGATGGAAAAGCTGTCTTTTCCTCCATTCCTCTATAACTCTTTCAAATAAATAAATAAATCCTTTTAAAAATGACTGTTTTTTAATTTAGTTTTGGTTATTTTTCTCAGTCTTTTTCACCCCTAATTGTGTTTTCTGGTGGTCCTGATCTCCTTTATGCATTTTTCCAACTTGGTCTTCATTTTGGTGGTGGTTTTCTTCCCCTGGCTCTGCTGAAAACCATCTTGACAGGTATTTCTTGACTGGAAATTGCTGTCAGCGAGCACTCAATGCACTCCTGCCTTCTGTCATTGCTTCCGTCAGTCCTTCCTCTGATTCTAGCGCCAGGGTTCTCCAGGACCCCCTGGTTTCATGGTCTAGCATTTCTTTCTCCTTTTTACAATTTCCCAGGAGTTTCAGCTACACTTCACTGTTGTTACAACAGAAACTTCTGCAAAGCATATTTACAGAGCATGTCATGTGGAAAGATGCTAGTGTTAAAATACATAAGAGTACCCTTCTCAATATAACTGCAGCTTCATTTTTTAAAAAAATGGAAAATCTACACAGAGATAAGGAATTATTCAGTAATGTCATGCCAACAAACGATCTTGGGGTGATAGAACATGTGGTGTTAAAGCAGTAGAATCTCAGGACACTTTGGCTTCTAGGGACTGAGACACAACTTCCTGGAGACCAAAGGAACCCGGCGAGGATTAGTTGGACAAGCACTGAAAAAACTAAACGTGTGAAGCTCCCTTGGTTCCTTGACTTCTGAAAACTCTCTTACTGTCTCTCCAGGAAGGATATTATCATTGTCGTCGGTTTAGGTAACATGGACCCCAGAAGGATTACTCACACAGAATATCCTGTCAACAGCATCATCGTCCATGAGGACTTCGACAACTACTCCATGAACAACAACATCGCCCTCCTGAAAACAGACTCAGAGATATATTTTAATGAACTGGTCCAGTCCATCTGCTTCCTCGGCAGAAAGCTGCACTTGCCGCCAGTCTTGCGGAACTGCTGGGTGTCAGGATGGAATCCCACGTCTGCAGTTAATGCATTCTTTCTCCTAGAGGAGGCTCTGTGTGTGTGTGTGTGTGTGTGTGTGTGTGTGTGTGTGTGTGTGTGTGTGTGTGATGTGAATGAAATGATCTAGGCTTAGTTTAACCATTCAGAATACTTCAGGTTCTAAGATCAGGCCGGAACCTTTACCTACCCAATTGGTCAAGATTCCTAGTGCCTGCCCTTCTGCAATCATTCCAAAGATTTGTTGTTGGAAAGGTAGATTTGCAGAGACAAAAAGAATCAGAAAGATCTTCCATGTGCTGGTTCACTCTTTAAATGGTCACAACAGCCAAAGCTGAGCTGATCTGAAGCCAGGAGCCAGGAGCTTCTTTTGGATCTCCCACGTGGGTGCAGGGTTCCAAGACTTTGGCTCATCCTCTGCTGCTTTCCCAGGCCATAAGCAGGGAGCTGGATGAGAAGCAGAGCATCCAGGACACAAACTGGCACCCAGATGGGATCCTGGTGCTTGGAGGTAGAAGATTAGCCAATGTAGCCATTGTGCAGGGTCCCCATCCTGCAAACCATTCTTACAACACATTGGTCCTTGTACCTCTAGCCTTCCCCACACCCCACTGGGAGTGTGTAATGAGCAGATGGGCACAGGCTTGCAGAAGGATGAGGAGGTTTATCCCCTCACCTGGAGCTGACTGCTCTCTTGTCCAATCTTCCCTTGCTTTCTTTCATTCTTGGGAAAGAAAGAAACAAGGAAATGGATACTGTCTAGATGTGAAGGAAGCCTGATCTATTCTCTGCTTGTTGACATATTCAAGTTCAAAGCAAAGGTAGTTTTCATAAAAACACAGACACAGAAAAGGGATTTATAAGAACATCTTCTACTCTGCTTGGGATAGGCAAACTGCAGACATGTTGCCTAGGGATGACCTCCTTGTTAATTCTTGGGCTCTCTGTTGCATGGTCCAGACAGGAAATCAAATGACGATGAGTATCCTGAGGAAAATCTCCGTGAAAGACATCGAGCGGTGTTTCTCACGAAAACTGCGGAAAACGGGATGTGGCCGGCACATAGAGCAGGAAACAGAGTCAGTCTGCTTGGTAAGAACACGATGGAGCAGACAGTGGATGGGGGTGGGAGGAAACACACTGGTTCCACCAAGAAGAGCTGGCTGCAGGTCTCTCCCTGGATGGGGGAACTCCCTGCAAGGAGATTCTGACTTGGATTCATGACTGTCTCTGGGGTGAGCAGCACTTGGCAGGTCACAGGTGCTCAATAAAAACAGGCTGCCTGGACTAACCAGTTACCATACTCCCTGAAACGTGTGTTGGCACGTGTAAATTGCAAGCAGAGGTGTGACCCACATTTGTCATTTGTGTCAGTTTCTTTGTAGCCTGCCTCCCCTCTGAGGACATGGCTCATCAGATAAGGGATCTTCCTTCCGGAAACCCTGTCATCCAGCCAGCTGAGGGTTGCACTGTCTCAGGAAATTGTGCAGACTTTACAAACACCTGGGTGCAGGTCCCCGTATGTCCCAACCCAGAGAAAGTGTGGCTAAGCAGCATCAGCCAGCTAACAAATGCTGGCACAAAGACAAGAACCTGGGTCAACCAGATCTCCAGGCAGAGTTTCTCTCCTCAAACATGTTTTAAGATTTATTTTTATTTGATAGGCAGATTCAGAGAGAGAAGGAGAGAGAGATTTTTAAAGATTTATTTACTTTTTATTGGAAAGGCAGATATACAGAGAGGAGAGAGAGACAGGAAGATCTTCCATCCGCTAATTCACTCCTCAAGTGGCCGCAATGACTGGTACTATGCCAGTCTGAAGCCAGGAGCCTCCTCTGGGTCTCCCATGCGGGTGCAGGGTTTGTCTTGGGCCATCCTCCACTGATTTCTCAGGCCACAGGCAGGGAGCTGGATGGGAAGCGGGGCTGCCGGGATTAGAACTGACATCTATATGGGATCCTGGCGCATTCAAGATGAGGACCTTAACCATTACGGTATCACACCGGGCCCAAGAGAGAAAATTTCCATCTGTTGGTTCACTCTGGTTCACTAAATGACTTGTTCATGAAATGGTCACAATGGCTACAGCTGAGCTGATTTGAAGCGAGGAGCTTCTTCCAGGTCTCCCACATGGATGCAGAGGCCCAAAGCTTTGCGCCATCCTGTGCTGCTTTCCCAGGCTATAGGCAAGAAACCAAATAGCAAGTAGAGTAGTCAGGACATGAACTGGTACCCATAATGGATGGCGGCACTGCAGGCAGAGGATTAACTTGCTATACCACCATGCCCTAAAACTACCTTTTTAAGATGCTGATCCTCATCCTCCCCCAGTCAGGATTCCTTGGTATGAAACTTTTTTTTTTCCAGAGAATCTAAAAGAGTAGTTTTAGAGTAAAGGGAAGAAATGCATGAATATAGCTGACTCACTCTGAAATCCATTTTATTGTGAAAGCATGGACCAGTTCTCATTAGGCAATTTGCCCTTCCAGAGTGAATTCAATATTAACTGAGTACCTATTCTGTACCAGGCGCTCTGCTAGGTGGAGCACCTCAGTGACTTCTTCAGCTAGATGATGTGTAAAAATACAGTAGAGAAGACCTGACTGATAAAATCCTGCCATCACTGAACTCATTAGTACAGTATTATGCTTCATCAGATCCAATATACCACCAATGATAGAATGCACTGTTATTTATGTAATATCCACAAAGAAAAAAAGTTGCCAGTTAAACTCCCATATTAACTGATTCAAAGACACATCATAGTTTCAAAGTCATTTTTTTTCTTTTTTTTACTAACTTAGACCCAGTGGAACGTGGTAAGCTGTTCATGAGCTAAGTGACCACCTTTTTTCCTGCCAAGTTCAGTGAAGGGGTTTCAACTGTGGAACACGTGTGAACAGACTTTTGTTTTGAATAGAATTGTGCTTATAAACTGTCTGATGGTGACCTGTTAACCTAGTCCAGGGGACCTCAAAGTTAGAAGAAACCAACAGGTTCAATATCATCTAATGGGTTTCCCCAGAACCCTAACAAAAGCAGAAGCATTCTGAATTCATCTCCCACTTAAACAAAAAGCAACCAACCACACAACTATTAGGGCTTTTGCTGAATATCAAGCAGAGGATTAGCAAATGGAGGAGCCCCTCTGAGCTTGAATTTTCCCTGGAAAATGAAATAGGGCTGCTCCAGGGGGTGGTTAATTTGGTACTTTTTTAGCTCAGCTAGTTTTGCTGCAGAAGTCACAACCCAATAGCATGATGCAAAAGAGAAAAAGCAGCATATGCTGCACCCCCGTAGAAGAGCACCCTGCAAAACCAAGTCCCTCACTGGGGACACTGGCCACACCACCATTCACCAAATCACCCTCCATTGCATTCTTTTACTTCCTCAAGTTACAAAACCTTAGTGCAGGCAAACTGGAAATGAGACTGGTGGAAGAAGGGGAGATCACAGCATCCTTGGTCAGGTTGCTTCCTTGTGGCAGGTGGACTTAAGGGGGTATACACAAGGACCTGTTCACCAGACCTGGGATAACCAGCCAGAACCTGGGATGAAATCGCAACCTTCAGCCCTGGCATGGTAGCCTAGTGGCTAAAGTCCTCACCTGGTACACACCGAGATCCCATTTGGGCGCCGGCCCTGCTTCTCATCCAGCCCTGCTTCCCATCCAGCTCTCTGCCTGTGGCCTGGGAAAACAGTCGAGGATGGCCCAAGGCCTTGGGACCCTGCACCCGCATGGGAGACCCGAAAGAAACTCCTGGCTCCTGGCTTTGGATCAGCTCAGCTCTGGCCATTGTGGCCACTTGGGGAGTGAATCAGCAGACAGAAAATCCTCCTCTCAGTCTCTCCTCTGTATATCTGATTTTGCAATAAAAACGAATAAATATTTTTAAAATATCACTACCCTCTACTGTTCAGCAATGCAGTTCCTGGCATCTCACAAGAGGCATGGAGTTAAACCCAGAATGTCTTCCTTGTATGTCTGGCCTTGGCCTTCTGCGGGGCTACCAGGGAGCAGTGGAGGCACTCCTGGGTGCCCCGGGTGCCCTGTGGACAGAGTATATCTCCTGCGTGCCCTGTGGACAAAGCTGCTGCTTTCCTACACCTGCCCCCCTACTCTATGTGGATGCCACAGCACTGGGAAAGGACACCCAAGACCACTCCAGCCTCTGGATGCCAAGGGGCCACTCTTTAGCCTTGCAGCATCTCCGTGTTGAGTCTATTTAGACGGTTTCCTGCTGCCCATTGCTGATCTTTTGTGTCTTGGGCCGAGCAATGAGAACAACATGCCACTGCCCAGCTCCTCCAGGCCACATGGGTCAGGAACAGCTGGTGACCCTTTGGAAGGTTAACCCCTTCAAAGACAAGGTGAGGTATGGGATGGGGTTTTCCTTTTAGAGCAGCCCTGTAGTGCAGAATGGGCTGAACAGGCAAGGTAAATCATACCTAGCAGTTATCTCGTTCCTTATCCCATTTTTCTCAACTTTCCACAGAAAAATCATGTTTTATCAGCATTAAGATGATAGAAACTAATACTTCTCTGAGTACCTAACATATCCCAGGCATTGTGCTAGGTGCTCTGCCCATATTTGGGGCATCAACTGTACCCCTGCTTTGGCTCACCAGGTCACTTGTCTAGAGTCACACATTTAGCTAAGAGTGCCAACCTTGTATCCACTCACCTTACATGTGATAAAGTGTGTGTACCAGGATTCCTGGGACCCAAGGGGACTGCTCCCTTGGGGACAGGGAAGGCTTGAGCATGGCAACACTGGTAAGCAGGTAGAGTGATGGGCAGCTACCAAGTGGAAAAGCTGGGAATCTTGCTTAGTTCCCTGGGAACCTGGGCTGTGCCCCTCAGCCTTCAGGACTTCAGGTGGGAGAGAGCAGCATAGACCAGGGACAGGAGCAGAAACCAAGTGTAGAGGAGGGAAAATGTGAGGTTTCCAGGCCAGAGAAGAATACCAATCTGTGCTGGGGAAGAAGTCACCGGAGAAGGGGATTTAGTCTAAGTCCTGGAAAGGGACAAGAAAATATGAACCAAGAGACTATGGGCCATCTGCAGAACTCACAAATAATTTGTATAATAAAAGTCAAAATCATCTTGTTGGAATGGTGGTGACCACCTAGATTTGAAATAGTATTTGCAGATTTGCCCCATTTCAAGCAAGAACCAGTATGAAACACTTCTAGAACAAACAGTAAATTTTCCTAAGGATGCATTTTAAAAAGAAAACAGATTTTCCTAAGACCTAAAGCCTTTTGTCCTTTGTCCCAGGGAGAACCAGGAAACCCAGTTATGTGCCAGCTGCAGCAATCGGATCTGTGGGTCCTGCGGGGACTCCTAACCGAAGGTGTCGAGCCATGCCCTGGCCTCTTTCTGTATATCAAGGTGGAAGACTACAGCGACTGGATCACATTCAAGACCAGGAGGGTCGGCCCTCCCCTGTCTTCACTCCACCACTGGGAGGAGTTGATGCCTCACCCCCATCGCCAGTCACAACATGACCGCATAGTGACACAGAGTGTACACACTCAACTGGACAATGTCATGTGGTCCCAAGCAAAGACCACCACGCATTTGTTGCCAGCAAACAGCTCTAGAGACAGTCTAGACTTCAGGGAAAAGAACGTGGGGGAGTCAGACAATTCTGATCAGGCCGCGTACTATGACTATTATGCGGAGGCTGGGCAGAGTGGGTATGCGGCAGGTCAGAACAGGTTGCATCAGCCCCAAGAAATGATCTCTGTTCTCTTTGTGCTTGCTTTCTTTTGGAGCGGTATCTAGGGGCTAATTCATCAAACTGAAGGATAAGCTCAGAATGCTGAGTGCCAGGCATTCACCAAGCTGTTTGGGTGTCTGTTTTTGATAGTTGCACACCCGTGTGCCATGGATTTGGTCCAAGGCACACACTGAGCTGGCCCGCTCGCTCGCTCTCCTCTGTCCCACTCTCACCTGCGGGAAGGTCACTTTCATTTGTGCTTGTGAACTAAATGTGGGCTTACAAGTGCCAAACCATTAGAGTGCCCTGTGGTTCTTTCAATGTTAATGGTTTCAGGGACCAGGCTGTGAAAATATTCCGGCAAAGTGGTGCGGTGGGGAGACAACACAGATGTGACCCAGGTTGTGATGGTTAGTTGGTGGGGGGCACCAGCTAGCACAGGGAACAGTGAGAGGACCCCCGTGGCTAAAAAGAGCTTATGACTTTAATGGATTACTTCTTAGTCTGCCAGCCAGGGCCTGCCTCTGGCTACTTCCCAGAGGCCAAACTGTGACTACTCATTCGTTGCTTTCATTTTATTCCAAGATTTGCGGTAGCCTTTTAAGGACATCTGCAAAAATGAAAGAGAAGGGAGAGGAGAGAGGGGAGAAAGTCACTTGGGAAAAGCTGAATATGGCTATTCAGAATGCAACCCTCCTCCAGCCCTGCTTGACAATATAGACAACCGTGTGTGTGGCAGTGTTGTGCCCATGTGCTGTGCGGCTGGGCAGGGCCACTAAGGGGTGGGGCCCATGGCCAAGGGTTCTATCAGGAGTGTGCTGCTGTTTGGGGAGTGGCAGGTTCCTGCTGTGATCCCCTGCTGCCTCTCAGCTCCAGACTTGATGGGCCCAAGTTTAGATGCTAGAGAGAGGAGGACACATGAAAACATTGAGCTCCTGGTTTTCTAAGTGACCTGTTTGGGTTTTCAAGGCAATCTAGCCAAGTCTACTAAGTGACCACAGTCTGCAGCTGCCATGGTAGCTGTAGCGGTCAGCATGGTGTTTCCGTGTGGTTCGTGTCTGTTCCGCAGCTCATGAGGAGCAGGAGTGCTACCCATGCACAATGCTCCACATCAGAGGCCGCAGAGACCCAGGGCATCCATGTAAGTGCTTGCAATCGAGTTCTAAGTGATATTAAAATTTCATTATTACCTTATGTGTTAAAAAAACAAACACTGGGCTTTTCCATGTATAAAACAGAAATCACTAAATTATCTGTGGTGTGGAAGGAGTCTATGCTTTATTGGAAAAACAAACAACCATGAAACACTATTCCACCAGGCTCTCTCTTCACAATAAAAAGGGAATTTTTGGGTTTTTTTTTTTTTTTTTTAGAATCAAATAGTGATTTGGGGTTAACAGGTGGAGCCCTGGCTGAGATTCTTTTATAGGTGCTACATGTCCAAGTAGCCGCCTTCCTAAGCCGTACTATTGAGGGAATATGAGACACAACCATCTTCTGGCAATACCAAGTCAACAAGATGCAACACTAACTTGGGGTTCTCTGGGACTCACCTCTGCAATTTCTACTTTCCTCTCCCACATCTTGATGCTCTTCTCCAGGTCCCCATTGAGAATCTTCTCCCGGACATACACCATCACCCGGGGCGCCCGGAACTCTGTCAGCTGCCTCCGCAATCTCTTGTTCATAGCCTCAGCTTTGGCCCGATCCTGGGGTGGGGATGGAGGCACAAGGGGAGACCAATCACACACAGGGGATCCTGGTGGTTCCTGTTCTACGAATTCCTCTCCCAGCCCTGACCACTCTCATCCAAATTTCAATACAATTCTAAACACATTTTTTCAAAGATCGGAGGGGGAGGAGAAACACAGGATTGTGATTTTGTAAGGATGGAGATGTTTGAATTCAGTTTACAAACTCCAGTCTAAGTCTCCTTTCCCCTCCTCTTAGACTAGGAAGATATTTTCTTTATCTAGATTCCTTAAATTTTTCTTTTCTGTGTATGAGAAAAAATATAAGTTTTCATCAGTCTCAATTCACTTTCCATTTTTTTTTTCAAATTCATAAAATGTTTACAACTGTAACCATTTTAAAAGCACACAGAGCAGTGGCACTGCCCTGAGTATATTCACAATGTTGTGCAACTCCTACTGTCATCCATCTCCAGGACTTGGTCAGCTTCCCAGCTGTAACTCTGAACCCATTAAACTCAAATTTCCCATTCCATCCTCTGGGCCCTGGAGACCGAGACATTCCACCTCAATGAATCCAACTCCTCCCAATGCCTCTTCTACGTGGAGTACTACAGTATTTGTCCTGCTGTGAATGTCTAATTTCACATAGCATAATGACTTCCAGGGTCACTAATGTTGTAGCATATTGTCAGAATTGCCTTCCTTTTTAATGCTATATATTTTTCCATCGTGTACGTACGAGGGCGCTTCAAAAGGCTCGTGGAAAATGGTATGAAAATATAGGTGCTAGGTGTTTGCCTATAGAAGATACCCAACTTTCACATCGGGGTATCTGAGTTCAATTCCTGACTCCAGATTCTGATTCCAGCAACATGGAGGACAGCAGTGATGGTTCAAGTACTTGAGCCCTTTCCAAGTTCCCAGCCTCCCATCTTTGACCCAGACCCAGCCTGAGCCACTGTCGGAAGCTAGCTAGTAACCTAATGGATAGGAAGTTTTTCTGGATCTCAACTTTTTTTTTAAATACGTTTATCATAGTGCCAAAAATTTTTTGAAATTTCTGCAGCCTTTTCATAATGCACATTTCCCATGAACTTTTTTTTTAAAGATTTATTTTTATTGGAAAGGCAAATATAAAGAGAGGAGGAGAGACAGAGGAAGGTCTTCCATCTGATGGTTCACTCCCCAAGTGACCACAATAGTCAGAGCTGAGCCAATCCAAAGCCAGGAGCCAGGAGTTTCTTCCGGGTCTCTCACACAGGTGCAGCGTCCCAAAGCTTTGGGCAGTCCTTGACTGCTTTCCCAGGCAACAAGCAGGGAACTGGATGGGAAGCAGGGCTAGTGGGATTAGAACTGATGCCCATATGGGATCCTGGTACGTACAAAGCGAGGACTTTCACCACTAGGCCACCACGCCGGGCCCTCCCATGAACTTTTAAAGACATATATACATGGATTTAAAAATTTCTTTCAACAAAACAAATTTTTAATTTCCCATCAAGTTTTTAAAGTACCACATTGGTGGTGTAATTTCTAAGTTACCATTTGAGATAGCCACATTCGTTATCCGTGTGTCTGGTCTAAATTCCAGCCACTCCATTTCTAATCCAATTTCTTGTTGATGAGATTGTAGGAGACATCAGATGATACCTGGCTCACTCTGGGTCCCTGATACGCACATGGGAGACTTGGACTGAATTCCAGGTACCTCGCTTTGATCTGGCCCAGCCCTGGCTGTTGAGGTCAATTTGGGGGCTGTTGTGGAACTTTGTATTAAGCCACCAATTACAACATCAACATCCCATATCAGAATGTCACTTGAAGTCCCAGGAAAACTGTGGAAGATGGTCCAAGGTCTTAGGCCCCTGCTAGTCATGTGACAGCACTGGAAACAGAGTTCCTGGCTTCAGCCTGGCCCAGCCCTGGCTGTTGCAGCCATTTGGGAAGTAAACCAGCAGTTAAAAAATCTCTTGGGCCAGGCATGATAACCTAAGTGGCAAAATCCTTGCTTTGCACGTGCTAGGATCCCATATAGGTGCCAAATTGTATCCTGGCTGCTTCACTTCCTATCCAGCTCCCTGCTTGTGCCCTAGGAAAGCAGTAGAAGATGGCCCAACACCTTGGGACCCTGTGCCCATGTTAGAGACTCAGAAGAGGCTCCTGACTTCTGGCTTCAGCTCAGCTCAGCTCCAGCCATTGCAGCCATTTGAGGAGTACAGCAGCAGACGGAAGACCTTTCTGTCTGTCCTTCTCTCTGGAAATTTAACTTTCCAATAAAAATAAATAAATCTGTAAAAAAAAAAAAACTTCAGGCCCAGTACAGTGGCCTGGCAGCTATCAGTCCTCGCCTTGCATGCGTTGGGATTCCATATGGACGCCAATTCTAATCCTGTCTGCTCTACTTCCCATCCAGTTCCCTGCTTGTGGCCTTGGAAAGCAGTCAAGGATGGCCCAAAGCCTTGAGACCTTGCAGAGACCCGAAGAAGCTCCTGGCTCCTAGCTTCGAATCTGCTCAGCTCTAGCTGTAGCAACCACTTGGATAGTGAACCAGCAGAAGGACGATTGTCTTCTCTGTCTCTCCTCCTCTCTATATATCTGACTTTCCAATGAAAATAAAATAAATCTTCTTTTAAAAAGCTGACAACCCCCCATAACTCTATCTTTCAAACAAATCTTCAAAACACAAGAATTCTTACATATACATAATAAAGGGGATGGTGCAGTGGCCTAGTGTTTAAAGTCCTCACCTTACACGCACCGGGATCCCATATGGGTACCGGTTCTAATCCCTGCTACGCCACTTTCCATCCAGCTCCCTGCTTATTGCCTGGGAAAGCAGTCAAGGACGGCCCAGGGAGATCCTGCACTCACGTGGGAGACCTGGAAGAGCTCCTGGCTTCTGGCTTTGGACTGGCTCAGCTCTGGCCATTGCGGTCACTTGGGGAGTGAATCATTGGAAGGAAGATCTTCCTCTCTGTCTTTCCTCTTTTTTTATATAAATCTGACTTTGCAATAAAAAGAAAAAACGAATTAAGGAATTCTTGAGTGTTATTGAATTCCAGGAGTGTTTTATTTTGCCTGCTGTCTCTAGAATATAGTCCAGCAGTAAAATCCAACACCACAAATCTGTAAGTCATCAAATGCTACTTTCTACTTTGGTGGCCCAGAGCTATTGAGACGTTTATGATGCAGGCTTTCCTAGATGAGTAACCACAGTGGCTTGGATGGTTGGAGACACTGACTCAGTCCCTTGCAGACAGGAGAGGATCATCAGACACAGCACATTTTGTTCTCTCCTACCTCCTCCGCTTGTAGGGTTTCCTTTTGAATTTTGTCAAGTAGCTCACTTCTCAGCAAGATCTCTTTGTCCAGATTGATGTATGTTTCCATTGCTCTTTGAAGTTTACTCTGAAATACAACACAGCAAGTTTTGAGCTAGGAAAACCTCTCAGAATGGCAAGAAGAATGGATAGCCCTTTGTTAAGCAGGAGCAAAGCAAGAGCAAAGCATTAGCATCTTGGCCCTCTGGGTCTGTCAGCTTCAGAAAACTGCTATCTGGGAAATAGGCAGGGCAGGACAGGACCTAGGGGATCTTGCCCTCAGCCAGAGAGGCCAAGTACTCATGCATACCAGCACTCAAATCCTGCCCCACTACTTGAGGCAAGTCTCAGAACCTCCCCAAATGCAGCACAGTCCCCTTGCAGGGTTGTGGAGGAAGCTAAAAGATTTCCCAGTGGAGTGCTGAACTCAACACTGGGTATGTGAGGAACCCTCAGCAAGCAGCCGCCCTGGCTACCTCACATACATGTAGAGGGAGGAACACTCCACACAAAACAGTCGCTACTGTCACACCCACTCTCAGGTGAGGAAACTAAACCTTGGGGAAGATGAAGCAATTTGTCCACATCCACACAGACGGAGGAGTCAGGACTTGAACCCAGGCAATGTGATTCCACAGCCCACAGGCTCTATTACTGGATGAGGCTGGGCCTGCTAACTTCCCAGACTCCCCTCATAGCATTTCCCCTTCACCAACTCCCATAGGCCCCTGCTTCTGAGACTGGCCCCTTTTGGACCACTCTCTTTCCCAGAGGGCAGAATGAGCCAAAGGAGCTGGGGTACTCTCCATGTGACTGAAGACTGGGCAAGGGAAGGAGTCAGGAGTTTCAGGGGGTTCACTCAACAAACCCCAAGATGTAGCCAGCCTGTACCAGGCACTGGTCAGTCAGACCACCTCTGTCCTACTACCAGGAGGCTGGCTCACAGCTGGAATGGAGCAGGGGAGTCAAATCACTGTAAAAAAAACAATGTCAAACTGCAGGTGTGCCAGGCTGTAACAATGCCAGGACAGCAGCCAGGAAGTGCAGGATTTCCCCTGCAGAAGGAATGCGGGAAACACAGCTGAAAAGTTCAGTCAGGTATGTGCCAAGCTAAGGAAACAGCTTGAGAAGGCCTAAAAGGAGCTGAGACAGTAGGTGAGAGACAGACACAGACTGAAAGATGAGAGAAAAGGGAACAGGACCACTACCATCAAGTGTCACAAATTAGATGGGACACAAGAGTGTGGAGCCACCTGCCTGGGGGACAGGAGAGCATCTGGGAGGACATTCCTCTTCCCATTCCTTTTCCAGCCTTCACTATAAAAACAGTGTCTGGACAGTCTAGTGGCTAAAATCCTCACCTTGTATGTACCAGGATCCCATAATGGGAGCCAGTTCTAATCCCAGCAGCCCCACTTCCCACTCAGCTCCCTGATTGTGGCCTTGGAAAACAGTCAAGGAAGGCCCAAAGCCTTGGGACCCTGCACCCATGTGGGAGACCCGGAAGAGGTTCTGGCTCCTGGCTTCATATCAGCTCAGCTATGGCTGTAGCGGCAACTTGAGCAGTGAATCATCAGACAGAAGATCTTCCTCTTCTCTCCTCCTCTCTTTACATCTACTTTCCAATAAAAATAAATAAATCTTAGAAAGAAAAACCAACAAAAAAAAATCTTTATTTATTTGAAAGGCAGAGAGACAGAGGGAAGGACAGTGATCTTCCACCTACTGGAATGGCCAAGGATGAGCCAGGCTGAAGCTAAGAGCCCAGAGCTTTATCTGGGCCTCCCACATGGGCATGAGGAAGCCAAGTACACGGGTCATCTTCTGCTCCTTCTCTCAGGCCATTAGCAGGGAGCTAGATCAGAAGTGGGGCAGCCAGGATACAAACCAGCACCCATTTTGGATACCAGTCACAGAAAGCTTTACTCAATATGCCACAATCCCAGTCCAATCCCTTACTATTTTGAGGTTCATATCCCACGCCTCCCCCATCACAACCACTCTACATTAGAATAAGAGACCAGGCTGAGGGCGTTCAGCTGCCAGGTAGGGAGGTAGAGGCAGGACACTGCTGAGTGGAAAGGAGATGTTCATCCAACAACTTAGAAAAGTGGGGCAGGAACAGATGGACCCTCGGGGCAACAGGAAGGGAGTCAGGGGCTCAGCTGGGGCAAGGTCCTTACACAAGTGTGATAAGCTAAATCGGCGATGCTGAGATATGATGTCATCCAGTGAAGGAGGCTGCTTTGGAGAGATAAGCATTGGCTTTCCAGGGCTTCGGCATAAGTGGCCGCAGGCTCTGTGCCCACAGCAATCCCCATTTACTGTTGTATGGTTTTTGGAAATCACAGACTCCCTCCCCGCCCCCCGCACAGTGAGGGAGGCTGCACTTCCTGTCCTGGGCCCTGCCAGGATGAACCCAAAGCATAGGTTCTCCTCTGGGGCTTGGTGTTCTTTTCCAAGCCGCCCAGCAGCTGGTAGAATGCATTTCCTTAAGGTTGTGCAACTGAGGTCCCCACTGTCTCAGCTCCTTGAGGCGCCCCTCTGCCTGTAACCTAGCAGTGGGGAATTCTCGAACTAACAAACAGCCTTTGGGCTTCACGTCTCTGATCTCCCTTCCAGAGGTGTTCTGCTTTCAGGGGGCTCACATGACCAGGTCAGGCCCACAGCAATGATAGCTGACTGCCCTGCCTTTCAGTCAACTGTGCCATATCAGAAAACCTAGCCACAGAGCAGAAGAGAACCGTCCTATTCACTGTCCTGGCTGGGAACTTATACAGGCTGTGTAACCCAGGGGGAGAGCTTTGGGAAACCTTGGAACCCTACCTACCACAAGGCACCCAATCATTAGCTTACAGAGGTGAGGGATTCCCTGCAGCTGTAATGAGTCACATTTTGGTGCTTTGACAGTGAAGTTATTCTGGATGTTTGTAGCAAGTTCTCACACACAGGTGCCTCAGAGTTATCTCTTAAGTCGTCCCTCCCACCCTCTCCTGCTACAGCCAAACACATCTCAATTTTAAGCAGCTCAAGCAACTGGCTGTGGGCCTGCTTGTGCAGGTCACGTTGCCTCCTATGCTGGCGACGTGGCACAGCTCAGACAGGACCACATCCTGGCACTCACAAAACATTAGCTAAAGGTGAGGTGTTCCCCCCAGCAAACCCCCATTCAAACCAGTTGAGGTCTGATTCCAGAACTCCAAGTTGTTTTGCCTCCTTCCCAGCAGGACCCCTGAAGACGGAGACCCAGAGTTGAAGAGCAGGACTGCTTCTCCTGGCGTTCCTTGTCCACCTCCACCCTGCCTATGGCGTGCCTGCTCCCAAACGCTGCCATCTGGTTAGCATTATATACAATGGGCCTCTAAGCAGACACAGGCCACTTGCATCTGGACCCCAGCGGCTCCCATGCTGCTCACTGTGGCCTGTGTCACTGCTGCCCAGCTATTGCCAACAGTCTCCACCTGTGTGTTGAGAAGCATCCAGAAGAGCTCAGGCCATGGCACCCAGCAGTTTCTTTTTATACAGCAGTAGTCCCCTCTCCCATACTCCACAAGACCAGATGGGCCCCTGTGCTATTTCCTGGATTGCACAGGCTAAGTGCAAGGTCCAATGTGGTTAAAGCACAGATGAGTCATGTGTCCAGGCACTGAGGGACTGGGACTCAGGAGGTTGGCTTCCTACTGAGACAAGTGATCAGGTTAACTGAGCACTGATGCCAGAAGTGTGTGATCTGCGGGATGTGCCTCAGGCATGAATTCCCAACTGCCAGTGTAAGATTTTCCACACATTTCCACTAGGGGATGGCTGCTGGATGGGGCACACACTGAACCAGGGGTCCCACCTCTGTCATGAACATGATGCTTGAATTTGACAAAAATTTTGCATTGTTGAGCCTCAGGGTTGTTGTTGTTTTTTTTTTTTTTCAATTGTTAAAAAACAAAACTCCAGTCAGACAAATACAAGCCTGCACACTTGAATTCACATTTTTTTTTTCTCAGTGACACTGTATGGGCCAAATGAAGCCCACCTATAAGTTAGGTAAACCCACAGCCACCACTGCCACATAAGCAGCAGGCCAAAGCCTTCAGGCTTTCTCTGTGAAGAAACACATAGTAAATATTTCACACTTTGCAAACCCAGAGGCAAAATTGTAGATGCTATGTAGTAACTCATGTTAACAGAGGGAAAAAATAAGAAACCTCCCACAAAAGCTTTTATTGATGAAACCCAAATTATAAAACTGAGTTTAATATTTTAAAATAGAGGTCTATATGCGGAAAAATGGAATTTCTTGGAAAGTAATGGATTTTGATTGATTGGGCTTCAAAGTTATTCTTCTCCCATCTAATCGATTCCAAATAATCTTCTCTAAGGGCCAGTTTTAGCTCACAAGCTGACGGCTGCAATTCGATGGTCATTAATAGACTGACCAGATGGTCTGGTCCACTGAGGGCAGCCCACAGACCCTCCTTAATTATGTCCTTTCCTCTTTAATTATTAATAGTGCCTGTTTTCCCTCCCCCAAAGGGTTGCATTTGGTTGATAAATTATTCAGCAGTTTTCTGATTTATAGCTAAACCTGCTTTGCAGCGCAGGGTTTTAAGTGAAGTGCTTACTACACACCTCAATGAAACAGGGCCCTGAATGCAGTTAGCTCTTAAATCATGCTGCATTAAAAATCATCTGGAGAGTAAAAAGAAAAAAGCCAGCTGCACAATCTCTACTCCTTAACATAAAGGTGGGACTAGGGCACTGCTATATTTTTTAAAAAGTAAAAGCTCCCAGGTGGTTCTCCGAGGCAGCCAGGGTTGTGGGCCCATTCAGGGAATTTTAGGAGCCATGGCTTTGTTGAGGCAACAGAACTCAGGGGACAGCGGCTCAGCAAGGGACACGTAAGTGCTGAGTGAAGTGACAGTGGTGCCAGAGCTTGGTGTGGAAGCCCTGGGGCCAGGTCTTACCTTGTACGTGTTGAGGATCTGCAGGGTGTTTCCAGATGCCATCTTCAACTGGATCAGTTCTTGATTCCTTGCTTCAATTGTCTCTAAAAACTGAGCATTCTCGATCTTCAGTTGCTGAAAATCAACATTGTGGAGGGCCTCGCCCACCTCTTCCTTCTACAGCTCAGAATGGGAGAAGATGGCAGTCAGCTGTCACTTCCGAAGGCCCGGCCCACATCCTGCACACTTGCTTGGTGACATCGGGAGCTTGGTCACATTCAGTCACCCAGCAAAAGTACTGGCAGCTGCTTGGTGCCACGAGTGACACCGGGCACTGGGGATGGAGGTCTGAGCAATTACAATGCCCTCAGCCTCAATGAGTACATACTGGGAGGGAGGAAGGGTATCTAAGTAAGTAGAAATGCAGCCATTTAAACATTTTGAAGCCTGGAGACCCCATAAAAAGCAGATAATTTTTCCTTCTTTCATTAGATGACATTTCTGCCCTGTGGGTGGGTTACTGACCTGGCTTGGCCTCCTCCTAACTGCCTGCCTGGTCTATGCCATCTTCACTTGTGGTAAGCCCCACATTCTACCCATACTGTGCTAGTTCCTGGAATGCCTCTTCCCTGCCTTCCTCCAAACAAAACAATAATTACTTTAAGCCCCTGTATGACCCACCCTCCTCCAGCTCCAGGGCTCCACCTGTGAGCCACATCTGAAGGTCATCTCTCTTCGCTGAGTTCTAGAAGCTTTTAGCTGATAGGGTCCTGGTTTGTGCTGCCGCTGTATAGCAGTTAGGACCTTTGCCTTCTCTCACAACACCACTGCCCACCCGTCTGTGAGAACAGAGGCCGTAACCCTGTCATCTCTGTGCAGCAGTGGCTCTAGGTTAAGGGTCACCCATCCATTCCCCATCTCTGCTGAAGGCCCCGCTTTAAGACACCTGAGCTTGCATAAAGCCCTGAACCAGGAACCTAAGAGATACAAGATGTTCCACAGGGGCACCATTTGTCTTACAATGAACTCAAATCTACTTCTCTGACAACTCCAACCTTATTACCCTCGCACCACTCCTCTGCCCTCGGCACCCTTCCAGTCCATGTGTTGTTTCTTCCCACTGCAGCCTTGGGACCTTGAACTAGCTCATCAGTCCCCAAGCTACCAATGTGGTTTCTATTCCCCTTTCCACTGGGCTTGCTCTCCTGTGTCAACTCCAGTTTATCAACTCTTGCAAGGGTGGAGCTTACACTGGGCACACCATTGCAGATAAGGACCACTCAGAACAGCAGAACAAGGCTAGCCCTTTCTTGGCCTGGGCAAGCTTCCAGCTAATTTAGCAGATCCTCCATGGGGATCATCCTACAACAGTAGATACTGCTAGAGGATCAAAGAGGAGAGTCTTAGGTTTCCCATTAGTCATTTTATGTCATTAAAGCCATTTGGGACATTAACGTCTCAATGGCTAAATCCTTGCTTTGCATGTGCTAGGATCCTATATTGGCACCAGTTTGTATCTGGCTATTCCACTTTCCATCCAGCTCCCTACTTGTGGCCTGGGAAAGCAGTAGAGGACAACCCAAAGCCTTAGGACCCTGTACCATTGTTGGAGACCCAGAAGAAGTTCCTGGCTCCTGGCTTCGGATCTGTTCAGCTCCGACCGTTGCAGCCATTTGGGGAGTGAACCAGTGTATGCAAGACCTTTCTCTGTTTCCTTTTCTCTCTGTAAAACTAACTTTCCAACAAAAATAAATAAATCCTTTTAAAAAAGATTGAGTATATCAAGCCCACCTAATCCAGGATTCACCCTCCATCTGAATATCCTCCTTAAATGAGCAACAGTTCAAAATCCTTCTGCCATGTAAATTATCCATTTGTACAGATTCCAGGAACGATGACATGGACATATCTGGGAGCCCAGGATTCAGTCCACCACAAAAGGCAAAAAGAGACAGAATCCAGAGGCCCAGATGGGCATTCCTCCCTCTCAGCTATGTAAACAATATTAAAAACAAAATGTTTTAAAGTAAAAATAAATTTTAAAAAGAGAATCACATACCTGCCTTAATTGCAAAAGCATTTTTTTCCTTTGAACTTTGAGAGAAACATTTTTCAAACGTAATTTATCCTTCATATTATCCTAAAAAGGAGAGGCATATTTTAATCCATTTCTGTTTTACCTCCCTGAAGGTTTGAACTACTGCTGGCTTGGGGCTGAGATCCAGAACTGGAGCTCTACTATGCAGCCACTCTTCTGCAGGTCCTTTGCCTTCGATCTAAGCTGGTGTTGCGGTGGAATTTCACTTCTGACCACAGAGCACAAATCAGGTCTGCTCCATGAAAATATTCTATTACTTTTAAAGTCAAACTATTTGGAGTTTAGCCCTACTGGAGGGGTCTTTCCCAACAAAGTCATCTCATAAGTCTTTGGCCTTTTAGTCTCAAGGTAGCCTATAAAATGTTAATTAACACACCAAGGTTAGGAATCGTAAGTAAATACCTTCCATTCTGCAAAATCTCTGGGAACGAAGGAGCAGCCTCCTTTCCCAAATTCTTTCACCTTTGCCAGCCCCCAATCCCTCTCATAAATAGGGAATGCAAAGTGGCTGAGATGTTCTTGCCTCACTCCATGAACCAGCCCAACCGCACACCTGTCCCCAAGAAAATACACCAGATTTTGAAGCAACCATAAAAGAAGTCAATCTGATACACTGTTAACATCATCCTGTTTGATCTTAGCTATGATAAATATGCCCTGAAAATACAAACACACACTGTGTTTCATGTGTTATCCTAAACAGGACCACAGGGAGCCAGGCTGACTCACAGAGATCTTTTTCTCAGTCATTCCCACAGGATCCTTTCCTCCCGGCCAAAGCTCTAAGCACCAATCAACTCACCCTCCGACGGTTCATGTCATCGATATATTTCATCACTTTCTGAGTGGCCAGAATACTCCCCTTCTTCTTGGATATGGTTTTCAGGATATCTTTTTCAAAGTCATGTACTGCTTTCTGAACTTCAGTCTCTCGAATTTCAGCTTCCTCAATGATAGCCTAGGAGAACCAGCACACAGGGAGGAGAAAGTTTCCAGAATTTCTTAAGGACATATGCTAGAAGGATACATAAGTTTCCAGGCCCCCATGGTGTCTTTAAACACACACACACAGTTCTCAGATCTGTGGATGTTATGCACTGGCCCAGCTTGGCCCACCCCCAGACCTGAGCCACACATTAGCCAGTGAGCACTGTAACTTTACCTGGTCTGGGTTGTTCCATATCATGATTCCTGCACTCAACTGCAGGGACTGTCCTGACAGAGGAGTTCCCCAAGCTCCTCTATCATGTCTCTTCCCAGTGGCAGATCTTGTGCAGATCTGTGGGTTTTTGGCCCAGCCTGACTTAGTATACCTCCTGTCCTAGTAGGAATAGTAACCTTGCCCAATGGGTTCACACCCATTCTGGTTCTTACTGTTGGTCGCCACAGCCCAACTGTATTTGGTCCACGCCCAGACCCAGCTCTCATGTGGTTCAGCAGGGGCAGAGACTTAGCCCAGGCTGTTCTACACCCACCCTGATTCTCATGAGCACCAGTAAGTGCTGGAGTTTAGCCCAGTCTGGAGTACCCCCATACCAGACACAGTCTACACCACGCCAAGGGACAATGCAGTCATGACCAGTTCAGATCATCGTCCCCATTCCGGCTCTCATGTTCACCAGTGGGAACCACAACCCAACCAGGACAGCCCCTTAACTCACCAACCCCTTAGCTCACCAACCAGGCCTGGTCCCAGCCACAGCTCTTGTGTGTGCAGTGGTTGCTCTGACCCATCCCCTATCTTGGCCTTTGCCATTGGACACTGCAGTCTGGCTTGGCCCAACCTGTCCTAGTCCCAATCTTGCTGATGGGGGCTGCAGCCTAGCCCTGCCCAGTCTGCTTTCATCCTTGGCTCATACTTTCATCACTGGTAGGTGTGATAGCCTAGCCCTGCATGACCCACACACCAGCCTAACTCCTGCACATCCCAGCCCTGCTTGGTCTACCCCTCTCCAGAACGAACCCACATACTTGCCAATGGTTGAGCTACCTTGCCTGGCCCAACCAACACCCAGGCCTGGAGCACATGCTCACCAGAAGGAACTATGGCCCACCAGATGAGTTGCCCAAGTTTCCCCAGACACATTCCCAGACCCAACTCATACATGCACTAGCAGGTGTTAGGCCCTTACCTGGCATATTGGCCCCCTATATCCTGGCCTTTGTATGAGCTGGTGAATGTTGCAGCCCAGCCTAACTCACACTATTTTGAGGTACACCTGTAGGGACTACAGTTTCAACCTGCCTAGCCTGTTCCCAACCTCAATATCCATGAGTGTCAGAGGGATCAATGGTCAGGCCTAGCTCAGCTGGTCACCACCCTCAGCTCTTAAGCTAAACAGAAGAAACTGCAGTTCCACAGGGGTGAGCCCACATATCCCTCCCAGTCTGCCCCCAGACCTGGTTTTCTCACATGCTGGTTAGTGTCATGACCCAGCCTAACGTGACCCATCCCCTGTTCCAATACTCATTGGCATGTACTAACCCTGCCAGCGAGTCCCCCAACCCTACCTTTAGTGTACACCAGTGAGTAGTAGTCAGCTGTGGTGCATGCTAACTAGCCCAACACAGGTCTTCCACATGAGCTGGTGTATCTGTCTGTCCCATAAAGGTCCTCTGGCCTCTCCCCTCCAAACCGCCTAGTCTCAGCCCCCTCACTTAACTACAAGTACAGTGCAGTGGCCTTGTTGTTGGATGTTCCTCAGAAGCCATTCCTCACATGCAACACGCTCCCTCAGTGGTCCTCCTTCCCCCTCATACCTCTACCCCTTACCTGACCAATCCACAGTCCCTGAGCCCAGGCTCGTGGCATATGTGCTGGCCTGGGACTGTATCCCTCCACATACCCAAGATACAGACCCTTTAAAAGTTCCCCAAGCCTGGAAACCAGCCCACCACATCAGCATGCTAACCTGCGGCTCTCCCCTCCCCACCTCCTACCCTGCCCAGAACCAATCACGTGAGGAAATCCCCAGGCTTGCCCCACCTATCTGGGCGTGAGCCCTCAGGTCCCCACACAGCCCAGCAGGAGCTATCCTCCTGGCCCCTGAAGCCCACACCCCCAGGCCTTTATGAACCAGCCACCCCAGTGGTGGCCCAGGAGCCAGAGGGCCCCCTACCATCTCTGAGTGGGAATAATCTAAAGTTTTACTCTTAAACATAGCTCAATACAAGTCGCCAAAAAGCAATGAGTTATTGTTGGTTTTAATTCTGTTAGTCATCTTCGTTTATCTCCTGAACCTCCTTGCAGCCTTCCATCAGCACTTCCAGTTCTTGCAAAGTATTGGGCTTTTCTGGGTTCTGGATAGTATGAATCTTTCATGATCCTTGGCTGCAGAGTAGCTCTCTGTTCAGGAAGGCCTGAGAGCCACAGGGCTCAGTGTCCAGAAGAACAGCTCAAACACCCACTCCATCCTCACGTTCCACCATCCCTAGGACCTGTCACACCTGAGCCACCATCTCTCAGCAGCTGGCATCAGGATTTAGCAACTTTTTGGTCTTTGAAGGGTCCAACCCAGGTCCCACCTTAAGCTCCAATTCTTCACAAAATCCTTTTTGATCATTATTGCCCACCTTGATCTCTCTGCACTTGACATTTACATCATACACTGTATCAAGCCAGAACAACCAAGAGGAATGGTTCATGGTTGTGAGTGCTGTGTCTAAAGGATGCCTTAAGGATTTTCCACCCCAAACACCGACGTAACTTCAACCTCTCATGGTATTAAAGATTTGTTGTAAATGTTTATGGGCATCGACGGATATTGTGTTTAAGTTTTTTTTTAAAGATTCCATATCTTAAAAACATACTGAAATATTTACAGATCACTGATATGTCTAGGATTCAGTTCATAATAACTCAATGGGAAGAAGGAAAATGGAGACACCAATGAAACAGTGGCTACATGTGGGTGATGGTTGTATTTCAGGTTTGAGAACACAGCAATTTGTTTGTGTTCTACCTCTCCACATTTGTGTATTTTTGAAAATTTTCCATTAAAAAATAAGTTTGAAATTTATTGCCTACCTGGGCAGGTGATAAGCTCCTTAAAGATAGGCCCACAATTTGGTGCGGCTATTGTCTGCCAACATGACACGGACATACTAAGGGTACTTTCCATTGAGGTGGTAGTGAGAGCCCAGGGAGCAGAGATAGGAATACCTCATGGTGTTGAAGGTCCCGTTCTGCATTTGCCCTCATGTGACTTATCTCTTCCTTTGTGTCTTCCAGTTCCTTCTGTACAAGCTCAAGTTTCTGGTCAACACTGAGGCCTACCACGCGGTCCATACCAGTGCGGGTCCTGGATCTTCGCCTGCCTCGTAACTGCAAACAAATAAAAACAAAGCCACAGTCAAAGAGGAATTAGTAGTTAAATATGCCAGGCTGGGCATCACAATGATCCCTCAGACCTAGAGATCACCCTAAATGACTGTCAGGGAGGCCATACACTTAGGATGAAAGGGGACTAGGATATTTGGCTGAGGTGACATGTACTTCACAAGTCACTGTAAAGCTCTGTAAGGGCCTGAATTTGACAATGAACTGAAAATAAATAAGGGAGGCATGTCTCAAGGGTGGAAATACCATGAAGCCTCTGCAGACCAGCATTCAAGTCAAAGTCAGGAGCTTGGTGTTTCCTAAACTGAACACAGAGGAGAAACGAAGTGCAGTGGAGGTACAGTGCTCAACAAAACCAATAAATAAACAAAAAACCTCAGATTTCCTATGTCTCTAAGGCAAAAGCCACAAGTGGTACAAGGAATATAGGGCCTCAAGGAAGATTTGTTTAATCCCCAGAGGACAGATGCACATAGCATGACCATGTCCACTTTACCCCTTTATGTGGCTGGCCCGGTATTATAAACTGTCAAATCTCCTAGTTTAAGAAAATGCTTTCAAGTGAACTAAAATATTTGGGGGAGGGTCAATCTACTATGAATTCTTTCCCTTTATACTCACATGAAAGGAAAATTGTTGGAGGGGAAGATAGAATTCAAAATAGAATAGTCCATTGGTCACTGAGCCAAAGAGGGTATACCCAAGACAGATACACAAACAACACTTGCATTTAGGTGGACAAAAAATAAAATCATCATCAGACCTTCATTTGTGTACCTGTGCAAATTCTGCTGCCGATAATTTAATATCTGATAATCGTGGAGGGTGTTGATCTCTGGGCTCCAATTTAGTGTAATATTTCTCAAACATCTCTGTCTCAGTTTTGAGAGCAGAGTTTCCATAGCTGTAAGACAGAGGGATACTTAAATTCTGATAGGAGTTTAAATCTCAAATACCCAGCAGTTAACACTTATTAGTAACATACAATCTTCCTTCGGACACTGAATTTCTTGGTGCTTTAGTTTCTTCAACTATAAAATGGGATTAATAACCATGTCCCTCCTTTTTTAAAGCCTATACGCCCGCTCCTGCTTTGAAATAATTTCTGTTGAAGCATTTTTAATTTTTATTAATATATTTAATGAGCCACAAGTTTTTTTTGAAAGATGTATTTTTATTAGGATAATAAATTTACAGAATGAAGGAGAGACAGAAAGAGCTTCCATCTGGTTTTTAATTCTCTCACTTGGTTTTTTTGTTGTTGTTGTTGTTAATTTTGACAATTTTTACATAGTTAATTAGGGTAAAAAGGTTCAAGGGCTACAGGAAAGTGGGTAAGACTATTATTTTTTCCATATTGTTTCCTTCATGTTTAATCTCTCACTTGTTTGATTTCAAGCACCCCTTATATGAAAATATCCACAGGGAGTTTATCATAATCTATGTAAAACTTCACATGAAGGTTTTTAAATGCCTAATTTATCTTATGCATGCCATGATAACAACCTTAATGACTCATATATTACATATTATGTATATGTGTATAAATATACATTGCATGTAAGTGTGTGTGTGTGTGTGGAGAGAGAGAACAAAGAACTCTGATGTTTTCATATAGTCTTAACTCCTGTGCAATTGACTTTTCAGATTACTAGGAAAGACTGAAGAGGAAGTACTTCATGGCAGTGGCTGGCTTTTTCAGCACTGAGTAGTCTGTGGAGCTGCAGCTGCATCCAAATCCCAGTGCTACCACTATCTGTGGGAAGACAGGAAGTCACCTAGCCTTCCTGTCATTGTGTCTCACGCATCTCCTGGGATTTCTGGGTTATGCTATAAGGTCACACATATGTAAAATGCATAAAAGTTCTACAAAGCAGTAGCTATCAGTCCTATTAGCTCACTTCTGACATCAACCCTTTATGGATATATAGAGGTACTGTCCACTCAGCTGTCAAACCCAGGATATTCTGTGAGACCAAAGTTGAAGCTCAACATCAAGAGATCTTAATATGTAACTTGCTTGATATACTCATTCTAAAACAGGCTGATAAAGAATTTGGGGGCATTCTTCAGTCTCCATGTTTACACCTGGCTCACCCCTACGGTCACTCATACTGAAGTCAGTCCAATAACTTCTTTCCCAGTCTACCGCCCCATTAATTTCATTGCACAATTTTAGCATTGGAAAGGGGTCACCCGGTCTAACCCTACAGGTCAGCAGCTAAGCAGTCTGAGCCAGACACCCCCCACCACACCCACACGTCCTGCCCTGCCCCGGCCAGGCCCTCTGGGTAATAGAAGAGGGCCCCAGTCTTCCCACGGCTCGGGACTGGCTGTTCCGGGCAGATCCACTGTAAAGACGGGCGGCCCCAGCAGCCGGCCGACGGGTACCTGAGCTCCTCCACCAGCCCACACAGCTGGATAACAGGAAGCTCGCTCTCCTCCCCTGCCTGAGAGTCGGTGAGGACGTTCTCGGAGTCTTCTTCACTCGTCATTCTGCCAGAGCAGTCCCTGTCCAGGCCGAGTGTGCCTAGGAGAGCCTAGCACTCGCGATCCTGCGTCACTCAGGCTGCGACCGGCGTCTCGCCGCGTTGCCCAGACGACGGACGCGGCTGTAGGGGTGAGGCTTCATGCGGTCCCGCCCCATTTTCCCCAGCCAATCCAACCGCTGGCCAGAGAGCATGGAATGTAGCTGGGTAGCCTCCGCTAACGCATGCTCAGCTTCACTTCTGTAGCACTATTTAAATATTCACGGTTTGTTTTTTTTTTTTTTGAATGAGAGACATCATTCATCTGCTGGCTTACTCCCCCAAATGCCCACACAGCAGGGCTGGACCAGGCCAAGGCCAGGAGCCATGAACTACACCGCGCTGTGTCACGTGGGTGGCAGGAGCCCAAAGACTTGAGCCATCACTTGGTCCGCCTCCCAGGGTGCCTATCAGCAGCAAGTTGGAACCAGATGCGGAGCAGATACTTGGAATAGGTCCTCCTACATGGAATGCAGGTATCCTTAGCAACTTAGAGAAAAGTGGGTAAGACCGTTATCATATTCTCTTTTTTCCTTCTTGTATCTGGGGGAAGGGGAGAGATAAAAGGAAAAGCCACATCCAGCCTCCCAACCATCGTGGGGTCCCCAAAGTGGGAACTGCTCCGAGGGTTCCACTTCAGGGCTTATGATAGTTCAACAGTTTTGAATTACTGCCAATCTCACCACTCCAAACACGATGAAATCTCTCCAGACTCCACTGACTGACATAGTCTACCTTAGAGTCTCCATTTGTCTAGATTTTCACTGCCAACCCTTGGCTGGGGTAGTTGATCAATTTGTTCTGTCCTCCTTCCTCTGTTCTAGTACCAGGTGTCCTGTGCAGGCTCCAGTGTACTGCCATATCCTCCATGTGCAACTGGCCATGCTGTCCACTGTTTCATCTAAGCCACGGGGGAGGCCCAGCTCTGACACAAGCATTCCATGGTTAGACCATGGAACCTGCAATTTCTTCCATGGCTAGAGTTCTGAGCCCAGCAGTTCAGTTGGGGGATCTCTGAAGAAACCTCATCTGAGGCAACCCCAGACCTGATTCTCGCGGGTGCATGCTGATACAGGGTCTGGCACAGTCCAGTGCCCAAAACAGCTTACACGTTCACTGGTGATTGTGATTCCTTAGCAACTTTGTCTTGTTTTTTTCTTTTTTCTTTTTAATCTTATTATTATTATTATTTTAGTAACTTCTTAACTGGCCCTGATTCCCTGTTTTCTCTCCTTGATAGGCTACAGATTTTTCCCAATAAATAAATCTCTTCATGTACTATTCCAGCTTGTCTTGGAGAACCCAAACCAAGAGAGAGAAATTAAATTTGTTTCATGGGGCCCGGCAGCTTGGCCTAGCAGCTGAAGTCCTCGCCTTGAACGTGCCAGGATTCCATATAGGCGCCAGTTCAAATCCCGGCAGCCCCGCTTCCCATCCAGCTCCCTGCTTGTGGCCTGGGAAAGAAGTCGAGGATGGCCCAATGCCTTGGGACCCTGCACCCGTGTGGAAGATCAAGAAGAGCTCCTGGCTTCGGATCAGCTCAGCTCTGGCCGTTGCGGTCACTTGGGGATTGAATTATCGGACGAAAGATCTTCCTCTCTGTCTCTCTTCCTCTATATCTGATTTTGCAATATAAAAAAAAATATTCAGGGCCAGTGTTGTGGAGTAGCAAGTAAAGCACTGCTGCCTGTAACACCAGCAACCCATATGGGCACTGGATGTGTGTCCTGGCATTCCACTTCAACCCGGCTCCCTGCAAATGGCTAGGTAAGCAGCAGAGGACGGCCGGAGTATCTGGAACCCTTTGTCACCCACATGGGACACACAGAAGAACTCTTGGCTGCTGGTTCAGACTCAGCTCTTGTGCCCATTCAGGTTATGAATCAGCAGATGAAATATCTCTCTTCTCTGTTTCTCCCTCTCTTTCTCTGTAACTTGACTTTCAAATAAATAAATAAATAATCTTTGATCTTACTTCAGTAACATCAAATCTGCACTGTTGTAGAGCCAATCTCCAAAACTTTTCCAACTTGCCAAACTCAAACTCTGTATACAGTATACAACTTGATACCCAATACTCCTTTCTGCAGCTTCTGGAAACCACCACTCTACTTTTCTCTATAAAGCGGACTATTCCGGGTAGCTGGTATGATCTGTCCTTTTCTGGTTGGTTCATTTCACTTTATCACAGTGTCCTCAAGGTCTGGCCAAGTGGAAGCGTATGTCAGAAAGTCTTGCATTTTTGAGGCTGGATAACATTCCATTACATGAGTATGTGTAGCCCTTTACAGTCAGAAGATCAGAAGAAAAATTAAAAGAAAAAAGATAAAAGAAGTCCACACCAAAAATGAAGTCAAACTGGGTTTATTAACAGGTACATGATTATATATGTATAAAGCACAATTAAGTTTACCAAAAAACTACTATAACTACTAAGTTTATCAAAAATTTACAAAAATTACAAGATACAAAATCAACATATAGAAATCAATTACATTGCTATACATAATAGCAATTGGAACAACTGAAAAATAATATTAAAAATCGATCCCTTTTTCAATAGCATCAGATGATATGAGGGGGTGGGTATTTGGCCCAGCAGTAGAGTTGCTGTTTGGATACTGTATGCCCTATTAGAGCTGCAGGTTTGTCTCTCAGGCCTTGAGGCCACTTCCTACTAGCGCGGACCCTAGAAGCTGTGGTGATGGCTCAAGCAACTGGGCTCCTGCCACCTGCTTGTGGGGACCTAGATTGAGTTTCTAGCTCCTTCTTTGACTCTGCAGCCACTGGGAGCATTGGAGAGGGAATCGGCAGGCGGGATCATGTTATCTCACCTTTCAAATCTGTTTAAAAAGGCAGGAAACCCTTAGGTTCAAAGTAGATAAGAGGTACAGTTGGAATTGGGTCCAGCACCATGGCCTAGTGGCTAAAATCCTCTCTTTGAACACGCCAGGATCCTATATGGGCACCGGTCTATATCCACCAGCCCCGCTTCCCATCCAGCTCCCTGCTTGTGGTCTGGGAAAGCAGTTGAGGACGGCCCAAAGCCTTGGGACCCTGCAACTGCGTGGCAGACCTGGAAGAGCTCCTGGCTCCTGGCTTTGGATCGGCACAGCACCGGCCACTGCAGTCACCTGGGGAGTGAATCATCGGACGGAAGATATTTCTCTCTGTGCCTCTCCTCCTCTCTCTATATATCCGACTTAAAAAAAAAAAAAGAAAGAAAAGTATAGGTGGAACAATATAAAACCTGCTGAGAAAAACTGTAAGACTCTCATCAATGAAGAGATAAACAATGATCATGATTTGAAGGACTCAACATTAAGGTATCAGTTCTGAAGTTAATCCATAGATTCAATGTTACTAGAGTTAAAACTTTACCAAACTTTGTAAAAGAAATGTATTAGATGATTCTAATATTCATAGAGAAATGCAAAGAACTAAATAATAACCAAAACAGTTTTGAAAAAGAGGATAACACTAAAGGACATAACATTACCTCTGGGACATCCTATAAAGTTACAGTAGTTAACACAAGATAGCATAGCACTAGTGTTACAGAAATAGAGCAATGAAGCAAAATAGAATCCAGAAATAGATCCACACATATATGAGTCAATGATTTTTTTTTCTTTAAAAATGCATTTATTTATTTGAAAGGCAGTTTGAGAGAGAGGGGAAGAGACAGAGAGATCACTCCCCAAGGGGTCACCAAGGCCTGGTCTGGGCCAGGCTGAAGTTAGGAACCAGGAGCTTAATTCAGGTTTCTCATGTGGGTGACAGAGAACCAAGCCTTTGGGCCACCCTCCACTGATTTCCCAGGAGCATTAGCAGGGTGTCAGCTAGAAAATGGAGTAGTAAGAACTCAAAGCAATGCTCATGTGGGATGCTGGGGTTGCAGGCAGCAGGTGAACGAGCTGAGCCACAACACCAGCCCCAGTCAAGCAATTTGTGACAAAGGTGGAAAAGTAATCAGTATAGAAAAGATGATGGTGCTGGAACAGTTGTATATCTATATTCAAAAAATTCAATATCTCATGCCATGTGCACTAATTGAAAATAAATTTTAGACCTACACATAAAACATAATATTAAAAATTTTTGGAAGAAAAAGTAAAAGAAAACTCTGATACTGTTAGACAAAGATATCTTAGTTACAATAGTATTTGAAAAAAAAAATCCATAAGAGACCAAAAGAGCAATAGAATTTCTAATTTCTACTCTTCAAGACATTAAGAGAATGAAGAAACAAGTTTCAGACCAGAAGAAAAATATTTACATACTACATATTTGAAAAACGACTTGTACCTAGAATAAGGAAAGAACTTTCCAAACACAGTCAGAAGAACAGGAAAAACACGCACACACACAATTTTTTAAAATGGGTAAGCGAGTTGAACAAACACTTCAAGATAAATAGATAACAAACACACACAAAAAGATGCTAAACATCCTTGGTCCTTCAGGAAACAGGCAAAAAGAGCACAAAGTTGTGCAGACCACACCAAGTGTTAGTGAAAATGTTCACGGTTGTTAGAGATACAAAAAGGACACGGAGGGTGGTGGGAGTAGGGGATAATTCCAGCTCTCCAGGGTCCATTCCCTCCTGTCGTCACACCTCCTCTAGCATGCGCTGTACACACCAGCGCTCCCCAGCACAGAACAGCTCCCTGGCTTCCCTCAGACGCACAGTGCCACCTCACCGCCTCCTCTCCGACTTCACCTCTTACCCGAGCCTTTTCTTGCTCCTTTCTAGTCACGCTGGTCTCCCTGTGGTCTCTCCAACACGCCAGCCCACACTCTGTGCCTTTATCCAGGCAACTCTCCTCAGTGTCTCCTCTCCCCTGTCCCTTTCTCCAGGTTGCGAACACAAGGGGGCAAATCGTGCATTTTCAGGCCGCCCATAAACTGCGGGGGAGTTCACACCAACAGAGCTCCTACCATCACTCGTGCTACTGCTTCTCCCTTAGTCACGTCCAATCACCGCCCTATCTCTCCTCGGCTTCCTAAACCTTCCCCTCCACTGTGTAATCCAGCGTGT